TGTACGTCCTGAAGAAATACAAAGCATATACAAAGCATATGAACCTTCATTATGCAGGTACATCATAACATTATGTAAAATATTCATAAAAACACACCTGGAACTTCAATAACTGGACAATCAGCAAAGTATTTAGAAAACAGTGTAGTGTCAATTGTGGCCGACATCAGAATCAAACGTAGATCTGGATAAGTGTGAATCATATCACGCAAAACAACCATAGCAAAGTCACTGAAATATTAAAATAGTTTGAATAATAAAATCGAAATTAGTGCTTATAATAATTATTCAAAAAAATGTATTAGGTTTATTGAGAATCATCAAACAACTTATAATATCTGTAATCATATAAATTAAATTACTTTGTTTATCAAATTTCATTTCATCTATTTTGGATTCTAAAAATATATTTTAATTAAGTGTGGACCTCAACACTGATTAGACATATATTCTGATTAGAATCGCTCAAGCTCGCAGCAAAATTCTAAAATTTGATGATATTTTATAATTCAAATGCTTAGCATAGGCCTATAATATGTTAGTATGTTATTTCAGACAACAAAATCTATCATATTACAAAGTTACATCAATCATCAATGAAGAAACGTCACGATCTTTACCACAATTTGGTCTCATTGAATTCAGAAAGACTTGAAAAGCCGAGAAACCAAAATTAACAAATCAGATTTTTACACAAAAACAAACTTCTCCTTCTTCTTCAAGAAGTTAATTATATATAATGTGTATCTCGCATAAGAATTTGTCATTTCTTACCTATTAACATCTCTTTCATGAATCTCATCAATTATAACATGACTGACTCCCCTAAGACCGGATTCTAGCTTTCGCAACAAGACACCAACTGTGCAGAACAATATGGAACCATATGCTCTAGGCAGTACAGACTCAAATCTCACGGAATAACCACAACTTTCTCCTAGATCTTCAGCTCTTTCATTAGCTATACGTTCGGCAACAGATATAGCAGAGATTCTGCGTGGTTGTGTAACTGCAATGTTACAAAGAGCTCCTGAACCAGAAGCAATGTAATCATCCAGAATAAATTGGCACACCTAAATAAATTTTCATAAAGATATTAATAAATTAACTAATAAATATAATAATTAAACAATTTGAAAAATGTCCCAAATTCTTATAGATAATGAATGATGCATGTATGTTACATCTAAATTTACAGAATGCTAACCTGAGTAGTTTTACCACATCCAGTATTTCCACGAATTAATATTACAGGGTGCTCATTGATTGCTTCCATAATTTGCCCTTTCATGCTATATACAGGCAGCTGCTCTCTTTCCTTAATGCTTTTCTGTAAATCAGTGTTATTCTGTAATCGATCTCTATGATGATGTAATAATTGATCACTCAGCTCGTCTAAAGAAGCATTTGCCAAGGGACCTTCATCTGAAAATGAATTTGTGATTAGGCAAAGCATAATCATGAAATATTTGAAGAAAAGTTATTTACCTATGTTACACCCAGTCCAGGGATTCCAATTAGGCTGTGGTGGTGACCAAGGTACAACACCAGCTGCTTGTGGTGCACTGTCTTCAAAAGCATTCAGGATATGTTCGGACAGCAAGGATATTGGTGCTGAAATTTGTTTTACTTTTCATTAATACCTATCCTACCGTATGTGAACATTAAAATTGAAGAGCATAGGAATATATATATTTATATATATTACTCCAGTTTTTTTTTTTTTTTAATTTATACCTGCTTTATCATTTTCAGTACGTTCAATTTTTCCTGGCGTAATATTCAACTTGTCTAAGCATTCCCTAATTCTATTGTGAAGATCTGGACTTATCTTGACAGGAAACTTAGGAACTTGATTTTCTTTTGATTTATCTTTTTTTAAAGTTCCAGAGTATGGTTCAATAACGCCCAAATGAAAAAGCTGTCTCACTAATGACAAGGCACAACTCTTGCTTGCGGTCAGTTTGTTAGAACCTGTTTCTCTGCCTAAAATTTTGAAATAATACGTCTAAGTATCAATATCAAAGCTTTTGATATTCTTATTGAGAAGAAGTATAAATAGTATTTAGGTTTCAGTAGTATCTTTACTCTATTTATGTATAAAAGCTATAAATGAAATTGAAAATTAATCATTTGAAGCATCAAGTAACTTACCAGTAATAGATCTTTTTAACTGTCTAACGAATATAGTCATCTCAGCACAGAAACTCCTAATTGTCGTGAAAATATAAAAACGTGATTATTTTAACTTGAAAATTTAATATAATACACATTAGCAATAAAATAATGTTTTAAATCATGAAAAAATAAAACCTTGTACTAAAAAGTGTTAATAGGTTCTATTATTATTATTTTTATTAGCAATTCATTTTTATATTAATCAACATGCATTTTTTTATAATCATTAAAAATTCAATGGCTCAATCTATGTATATTATACAGAAAAAGTTTTATAATCACACATGTTTTCATAATAAACATACCTTATAACAGGCATATTGAATGGGGCCAGAGGAATGAGAAACTTTACCTAAACAGAAGCAAGAACAATGTAACATAGCAATTTTTTGTAAATAATTTGTACAAAACCTATTTCAGAAAGTATTCTATGATTAGATCTGAAACATCTAAACTGCTTCAAACTTAATCATATTTCTCCTCTTAAACACAAAATTAATGCAAATGCAGAATTATCATCAATTATTTTTAAGATCATAATCCTGCATGAGTATCGTAATGTGTGGTATGTTCTCAAATTTTCTGCTATGTTACAAAGTTCGCTCTTTCCACTTTTTGATCATTTAAAAATTTAAAATACGATAAGTGTTAAAAACTAAGATCTTTGTTAGTAAATCATTTTGTTTCAAAATAAAAGCATATCAAAATTAGTATTTGCAATACTATATATTTTAAATATTTATTTAGTTATAATAAAAATATATTTTTGCAAATTGATGTGCCTCCTTAATTCCAAAGCCATTATTTGGACCATTAAAAATTTATGTTTTAATCACTGAGTCCAAAGTTTTAAAAATGATTTATATTGTAATGAAAATATGAAACAAAATTTTACCTTTACTGAGTATTACTTAAACATAAATAATTATAATACCTTGAGTGATCAGACCCCACTGTTGAATATTTATAATCAGCGTTAATCTTATTAACTTGCATAAATTGATGTAATTTAGATTTTGCATTTTCCACAGTCCAATTTCCATGAATCGTAGCATTAACATCAAGATCTTCAGCATCTTCTACAAGTTTCTTGTTCTCAGCATTGCGTCTTTTAAGAAATTCAGGATCCAAGTCATCATTTATTGGGCGATACGCCACACCCAAATCATTTGGACCCAATCCATCCTGTTTTACAAAATCATTATAAATCATGACCATTTTTATTTTTAATTTGCATTTGCATAAACAGAACAATACCTGAAATACATTGTGGAATAGCAATACTACCTGAAATACTTTGTGGGTAGTGCCCTCAGCGGGTGCTGGCTCAGGTTGAGCAGAAGCTTCAATACCCGCATCATCAGGAACTTCCTCAGCTTTTACATGAGCCATTCTTACCAAATAATTTATAAAATCTTTAGAAGCATTGCTCTGAGCATCTTTTTTATTTGTTGAATTTCCAGCTCCAACATAATCAAAAGTTGGAACCCGCACTTCACAGAGAAACCTTTGCCTATGTTTAGGACCTTCAAGCAAAGCCAAATTAATAATGTAAACTGTAACCATTTCTTGTTACATGGCCGGTACTTCAAGACTTGATGTAAGTACAATAAAAAGTTTAAAACATTATTTACCTGTTGGTCTTATTTCAAAATTAGGAGGGTCTAACTTTCTCTTAGCACAAAATTGATGAAGGAAAGATTTTACATCCCCCATCGTTAAATTAGTAAAAACAATGATAAGAAAGTAATTCAATACTTAAAAGAGAATAATAGTAAATGAAAGTTAACTTGGAACTAAGTAGTGTAAATTAGTAAAACACACTATTCGCTGAAGAATATTTCGGAAACGATTGTATCTTATTCACCACTTGTTCACATATAAAATAAATTTATGCCGATCGTCACTAATCATTAACCAACAAACAACAAACCATAGATATCATAGGGATATCATTATTATAGATGATATATTTTTTGTCTGTTGCATAGATACATAAATTGTGGTGGTGATCTTGTGGTGGTAACAACTGCAACTTTTGACTCGGCGCCAAATTTGAAATTAGGTCAGCAAATTTATAATAACAACGTCAAAGTCATCGACGTGTTAAATTTAAGATATTATTCTCAGACTAAATATTGAAATATTAATTATTAACTTACCGAGGGAGAAGTTTATGTTTTCAAAAAACCCGATTCGATAATTTTATGTTTTCTCGACGTTTCAAGCCATTCTGAATCGAATGAAACTAAATTTGGAAAAAGTGTATGTGTATGTGTATGTGAACAGATTTTTTGCCGTAAATCGACGTTTTCTCAAAAACGACTGAACCGATTTCATTGACCGGGCCATTTTCTTGTATTAAAGTGTTAAAAAAAAATTTCCACCATTTTTATAATTGTTTTTGGATGGTAGATACCATTGTCTTATAGATCATACTAAAATATATTAATTTTATTTGAAATTTATTTTATGAAATTAGAAGTTGTTTGCTTGTTTAAACTATAATTAATGTATGGACTATCATCATATATTAATAACGGCAGCTTTTATACCAATATTAGTACACACAAGCAGATTCAGCTACAATATTTATCTCATGTAGAAAAGTTTATGAATTTCACTAATAGCATATTAATTAAAAAAAAAGTCAAACTTTAATGTTTTAATTATATTATTTATTATAAATATTTATATTTATTTTTATTTGATTATAAATTCAAAGTTTCATTAATAACATAAAATGACAATATAACATTTTTAAATTTAAATATTTATTTCTACAATTTTAATTGAATTAAGACAGACAGTCAATGTATAATTTAATTATAATCTTCATTTTCAATCGCGGATAAAGAATCTTCAGGTTTTTTGTGCATTTTAGCATGGTTTCTTAAAACCTGAGCTTGTGTATAACTTTTTCCACAAACTTCACATTTATGTTTTCTTTCGCCTGTATGCGTAATCATATGCTGTTTCAAATGCTTTGAAAGTAAGAACCGTTTATCACATAAACCGCATACAAATTTGCGTATACCGGTGTGTGAGACCATATGATTTTGAAGATTCTTTCTTTCAATGAATGCCATACCACATTCTTCACAAGAGTAAGGCTTCTCCCCAGTATGCCGACGGACATGTACTTTAAGCTTATTTGCATCTGGAAAGCCCTTAGAACAAAATCCACAAACATGCTTATCATAAGGAGTATGTTTGGCTCTTATGTGACTAAATCGAGAAGACCATGTTACAAATTTTCTATCACAATGATTGCAAGCATATTTTAATTCGCCAATATGAGTGGTTTCATGAACCTTCAATGAACTGATAGATTTGTATTTTCTATTGCAGGTTTGGCATTTGTAAGGTCTTAAATCAGAGTGTATTTTTAAATGTTCCTGAAAACAACTGCTTGAGCTAGTGATGAATCCGCATATTGAACACAAACGTTGAGAATGTATAAGGTAATGTCTTCTATGTTCCTCTTTGGTATTAAAATATATATCACATGTACGACATTTGTGCATTTTTTTATTGCTTGGAAGATTTTGTGAATCCTGGCAAATAATGTCAAAACTATTCAAATCAGGAGAACAATCAACAACGCTAACACCATCATCAAACTCTCTACTTTGTTCAAGTTCATTGGTTAAAACTACTACTTTGTCATCTTTACCACATCTATTTATAAAAATAGTTTCAGTTTCCTCTTCATTATTATCAAAAATTCTGGAAAAATCACATTGATCTGGAAGTGATTCTTTAGGATAATTTTCAGCATCATCTTCAAATGATTCAGATGTCATTACTAGTTTATCTTGTTTTACTGTTTCCTGAGAGTCAGTAAATTTCTTAAATTGAGCTTGTCTACTGTGGCATTTATGCCAATGATATTTGTATTGTTTTCTATCAGAAAATGTTAATTGACATCTGGTGCATTTTGGCTTTTGATATTCTTTCAGAAAACTTGAATCTGAATTTTTAAGATGAGCTGAAAAATTATTTGAATTATTATTTGATTCAACATCAATATCTACATCTAATGTGTTATTATTATCTAAAAAAATTGATACTAATTTGTGCTGGATATCAGCTCTGCATTCTGGTTCTTTTGTTATAACTGAATCTTCACAATTTGGTGTTTTTCTACTTGCAGAATAGGGATGATCATCTGTAGATATAGCAACTTCTTGCTCATCATACAATACATCAAAATTATCAGTCCTGTGTTTATTTTCTACTGAATTCAATTCTGTATTTAGTCTATCCATTTCTTCAACAGATTGTCTACATTTTTTCCAAAAACTGTAAGCTTCAACGAGTTCTTTAAAGCAGCTATTACAAAGATGTTTTGGATAGGAATCATCAGCGGCAACTTTGAGAGCAGTGCAAGAAATAAACATATTCAGAACATCATAACCAGGATCGAAGGAAAACCATTCTTGATTGCAAAATAATGGTTGCATGTCTTCATCCTGTGTTAAACAAGCGCGACATGTTGTATTTCCGAGGATAAAAACGGAAAAGTTTGGATGATTTTCAAAAGAATCTTCTTTTGATTCCAAAACTGAATCGTCAGACATGATTTGTAATGTTAATGTATTCTGACGCACCTGAATATAAATTGTGATTGTATAATGAGTTATATTTTAAAAAATACATTTCATGTTTAAGAACAAACCTGTATTATATTTTTATAAATAATATAAATCACGTTGATGGCACTACAATAAAGTTAGGTTATATTTCGTATTTACTATTCCTGTCATTTACTGTTAAGAATCCATAGATAAATAAACATAAATGGATCGCTATCTCAGGCCATTTGAAGTTATCTTCATTTTAATAGAGCGATCTGAAGAAGGCAGCACTTGTACAGTATATAACATAGATAAACACGTATAAATAGATCGCTATGTCTGGCGATTTGTCGTTACATAAATTGAAAAACGCAACTTTGATTATATATGGCAGCACATGTGCATTTTGTAAATTTACTACTGGTATTACTTCTACATTTGTACATATAATCAATACAGCAAAAAAATCTGAAAAAAATTTAATATTGGAAATAAGAACAAAACATACGAAATACAAAATATATTTTCAAAAATATCACAGATATATTTTTGAAGAATTATAAACTAAACAAAAATAACTGACTAATATTAATAAAAGTTTATTACATATTTTTAAAGTACTACAAATTAAAAGGAAATAACAAATATTAATTACTTAATGACTAATAAAAATATATTAATAACTTAAAAACTAAGAAGAGAAGAGCACACTTCAGTCGAGATTTATTAAAGTCGAATCAGAGCAACTTCGATTTTTGGCCGAAAAATTTTCCAATGGTCTCCCATTGCGAGAATTGTCGATTTTGTCAGATTGCTATAAAATAAAAACTAGTAGTCGGAGGCGTCTGAAAATTCAGTGGCGATTTGTTAAATTCATAATATATGTAATTTTTGAATATAAGTCGAATCAGAGCAACTTTGATTTTTAACCAAAAAATTTCTCGATGGTCCCCCATTGCGAGAATTGTCGATTTTGTCAGATTGCTATAAAATAAAAACTAGTAGTCGGATGGGTCTAAAAATTCAGTGGCGATTTATTAAAGTCATAATATATGTACTTTTTGAATATAAGTTGAATCAGAGCAACTTCGATTTTTACCCGAAAAATTTCCCAATGGTCCCCCATTGCGAGAATTGTCGATTTTGTCAGATTGCTATAAAATAAAAACTAGTAGTCAGAGGGGTCTGAAAATTCAGTGGCAATTTATTAAAGTCATAATTATGTACTTTTTGAATATAGGTTGAATCAGAGCAACTTCGATTTTTACCCGAAAAATTTCCCAATGGTCCCCCATTGCGAGAATTGTCTATTTTGTCAGATTGCTATAAAATAAAAACTAGTAGTCGGAGGCGTCTGAAAATTCAGTGGCGATTTATTAAAGTCATAATATATGTACTTTTTGAATATAAGTCAAATCAGAATCAAAAAATTTCTCAATGGTCCTCTATTGCGAGAATTGTCGATTTTGTCAGATTGCTATAAAATAAAAACTAGTAGTCGAAGGGGTCTAAAAATTCAGTGGCAATTTATTAAGGGGGTCTTCCTATGTGATGAGTTGAAAAAATTGTTTTTTTTTTATTTCATATTTCGGTAGATTATACCTTTAAAAATAACATATTAAAATTTCAAATCGATATCTCAAATAGTTTTTGAGTTACAGCCATTTAAAAAGTATACATATAGTATATAGTACAACGATCATTTTATCTTTAAACGCGTTTTTCTCAAAACTGTGTTTTTCAAACTTGTCTCCATTGTATCTCAGAAACGGCTGGACCGAATTACTTGAAATTTACAGGGCACATTCAATATATTTAAACGCATGGAATAAAATATTATCAATCAAAAATTTCAGAACTTCAGAAACCCGCCTAATTTGCAACTTTTATTTCAAATGTCTATAAAACATCCATTTTTTTTTGTATTCATTTGATTGTAGTTCATTCCGTGCTTTTAAGCCTACAAATTAAAACGCCGTTTATTTTTTTTTTGGTCAGATAAGCCGATCAGCCGGAATCGTGGAGACAGTGCGAGCTCTTTTTTTTTAGGGGGGGGGGTGTTTAGAGCGCTGTAACTCTACTTGGACTAAATTTTTTTAGCTGAAATTTTATATATAAATATAAATATAAGTCAAATCAGAGCAACTTCGATTTTTACCCAAAAAATTTCTCAATGGTCCCCCATTGCGATTGATTTTGTCAGATTGCTATAAAATATAAACTAGTAGTCGGAGGCGTCTGAAAATTCAGTGGCGATTTATTAAAGTCATAATATATGTACTTTTTGAATATAAGTCGAATCAGAGCAACTTCGATTTTCGGCCGAAAAATTTCCCAATGGTCCCCCATTGCGAGAATTGTCGAACCGATGGCGAACCGATCATATGATATTTGAAGTATGCTTTTAATTACATTATTGTTTCTAAATATTATTTATTTATATATTTATTATTATAAATATATAATTTATAATTAATCATTTATATAAATTTGTATAATGGTTGGCACTATTAAATGCGCGCATCACGAGTATTGCCGTATTACTAATAAACATTATTCAAAATTGTTATGATGTATTTATTTTTACTTTGTACAGTAGCAAATAAGTTTTACTTCAATTGCGTGTGATCCTTACACGCACTCTTTTTTTTCTAGCAAAGCTAAATTTTCATGAAAAAAGACAAACATATAAAAAACAATATTTTACACTTCTCTATTTAATGAATTGATATTGGAAGATGTTGTAAAATATTCAATTTAGAACATTTTATGTATTTTGGTTGTATTTGGTATTATTTCTTACCTTTTTTCTTGATTTTTTTTGTGTTTAAATTGTAAATATAATATTTTTAAAATAATAAATTACTAACCAAAAATGATTCTACATAAAATCATTCCCAAATTTATAATTTAGGGCTAAATTTGCCTAAATATAGAGACCAAATAGCCTTTACTGAATTTTGATTAAAGTATACCAATTGTTGTACGGTCAATAATGTACTAGAAACTATTGTAGATTATTCAATTTTGAACAATTTTGATATGTGGCTACAATTTTCTAATTTATAAATCTTTATGTTGAGTGCCTGCTATAGATGTTTAGGCTTAGATTTCAAAATTTTAATGTTTCAGAAAATTGTTAATGTTTGCACAAATTATATGTATATATTTTTTCTTAACTCCAAATCCTAAAATTACTTCATTGTGCTATTTTATTCATTAAGCGTATTTTACATAGTTTACATAGTGTCTTTATCAGTGAACAGTTCATAGTATATTTAAGCTAATATATTTTTTGTTACTGTATGAGTTCATAAAGGTTATAACACATATGTTTTATGCATTATTTTAAAGTTATATATAAAATGTAATTAACAAATGCATGTATTGTAACTCGAACCAATTATGTGTGTATATATATATATATATATACTATATATATATATATTTATATATTTATATATATTTAGTGGGTGTGTTGCCAAGGTACGCATGTTCCTTTTGAAATATTACCGAACTGTGCAGTTTGCAGAATCTGCAACCACCAGAGTTTAGCGCCGCCTCCAACACTGCTTCTAAAATTGTCAAGAATTTCCTTCAGGACATATTTTTCAGAATTTCAGTAATATAGTAATGGGCCAAAAATCGAAAATGAAAACGTTTGCATATCTTCACGTTTTGAAGGTTTCTGAACATTTTGGTATACCTCAGAAAAAATCGCTGTGTGTGTATGTATTTTGTGTGTCCACATTTTCGGTCGCACGCATGAACCGATTAGAATGGTTCAAAGAACATTCGATTCCTATTGTTAGGAAGATGTGCTGATTAGTTTTTGGCAGAGGGAGGTCCAGCCGTTTCGGAGATACGGATCAAAGAGTGCAGAAAATAGAAATCGAGTTTTTGAGAGAACCAAGCATCCGATTTGAATGATCAAAAAAACATTCAATTTGTAATTGTTGGGAAAAGTGGTGATTAGTTTCTGGCAAAGGCAGGTCCAGCCGTTTTGGGGATAACGAGCTAATTATACAGAAAATGGCAGATTCAACATCATGAATCTAAGTCTAATTCTAAGAAAAACATTCTAATTATTTATCCAACTACAAAATATCCTAATAGTACGTAATAAAATATCACTAATGAAAGTACATTGATTCGTTTCGATCATTTTTCGAAATCATTTTTTATTATAAATAAATTATTTGAAACCATTTTTTATTATAAATAAAATTATTAAAAATTAAGTAATTAATAATTTTCACTAAAGACATAGAACTCTACAACAACTCTAAGTTCCAAATAACACTTTATTATACAAGTTAATAAATATAATCCTGATGCGGCTAGGTCGAATAGAATTTTTAAACCATTCGATTAATATGAATGAGGTTATATATGGAAATGGTAGTGTAGGGATTGTTTTGTTTGTATATTCAGATATTTGAATTCGAGAAATGGAATCAATTCTCAAACAAAATAGAGAATTCGAGACACGCAAACGTGGTCTGAATATGAATATATGGATTTCTAAGATATGGCAAATCTAATAATATCAGAGTATATATATATATATATATATATATACAGGGCCGGTCCTGCCTTGCATGCGATGCATGCAAAAAATGCGGGCGCACGCCTTAGGGGGCGCCAAAACGAGTTTCGGAAATTAAATTTATAATATAATATTTATATTTTTTATATAAAATCCAGAATTATTTGTATAAAATCTAGTATACATAATAAATTATAATAAACAATCTAACTTAATCAGGGATACGAAGACACTAACAATTAACCAATTGCTTAATCTACCTATTCAATTTTTCTAGTGTTCAATCCCATAAGCTCAAACCTGCGAAAGATTAAATTAACTATTGGGCATTATTGACGAAAAATTGCGAGCTGATTTAATTAAAACAGAACTTGTTAAAAAATATAAACAAATTATAATCGGGAAAATAAAAAATGGGTTTCGCTTCTGATGAATTTTGAATGTTGAAGACATGCGTGGTTAGGGTTATCGAAATAGATCAAATACGAAAAACGAAAGCCAATTTTAAGAAATAATAAAGCTACTGCTTGAAAATATGCTTCGTCTCATAGGTCGTAAATTGATCAAAAAAATCTTTAATTACCAAGTTATAATTATCATCGTTTTCTGTAGATTTAACAAATGTTGTAATAAATGCATCGCAAATATACTTCGTCTTATAGGTCGTAAATTGACCAAGAAAATC